ATCAAAGCAGTCGCCACAGCAGGAGGAACAGCAAAGGGAGGGTCAATAGGAGGACTAATAGCATCAAAACTGACAGACGCCATCATACCCGACGAAGACGAGGAAGAGAAACCGTCCAAGATAAAACCAACACAAAAACTAATCAACAAACAAGTCAAAAAGGTAAATCACCAAAAGAGGTTAAAGGAGGAAAAATCAAAGATGAACGTGGATGTAGTGCCCGATGTGAATGAACCAATGGACGCTTCGGCAGAAGCCTCGCGAGGCTTTCGCGACACAACCACAATACCAACAGCAGAAAAGAGGAAACCCTTAAGCGTGAGACAGTCCAAAGCAAAGAGGCAGAAACCCAAACCGCCAACGCAGGAGAAGAGAGAATTTCAGGAAGACCCATCCACAACCACCAAACCACCCAAAGCAAGAAGAGTAAGAGGAAAGCAACCCCAACCACAAGCATTAGGAGCAACAATCAACATCCCCAAAGACAACAAGACACCCAATGTAGATGAAGCAGAGACAGCACAGGAAGAAACAGGGGCGTCATCTTCATCAAAAGCACCAGTCAGGAAACCAACAATGAACAAAGCAATATCGCCAAGCAAGGTAGGAATACAAGTGATAAGAGAGAAGTTTGAAGAGATGAACAACAGCAAAAGCATAGACACAGGAGACTATCAAAGGTTTCAAGAGGTATATGGTAAATGGAAATCAAGCAAGGGAGAGGATAAGAAACAACATCTAAAGGAAGCGAAGGAACTTTACAAGTCAATCATCTATCCAAAATTTAAATCGAAATAATTAATAAAATTATTCATTATAATTTTATTAATTATCCACTATCGTTTTTAGTCATAGAAAATGGCAGATTGGGCTTTTATCTCCAAGATACATTCGTGTTCAATAACGATATACATTTTGTCAGGCATCAGTCCAGTATCAGTTCCGTTGTCTGTTATATATAGGTCTGTTCCATACAATGGCTTTACACGGACAACCATATTTGAATTGTTCTTCAAATTCAGTCCAGTGTAATTGGCACTGTTGAGTTTCTTCAGGTTGAACCCCGCTAAAAAGGAATTCGTCCCATACATATGAGGTTTGATTGAAACGTGATTGTTTCGTGTTTCTTGTAGATGCTTATAGTTGTCAGCAACCCCCATCGTTGGCATTTCGGGTATGACGGTATTACCAATACTCAACTGAAAGGACAAATCAATATTTTCATAGTATCTTTGAGCAATTGATGTTCCGCTTTCCCACGAAAGGGGATGATAAAGAAGGTTATGAGGTTTCAACACTTCTTTGAAACCGCCCTTATAACCAAAATTTGAATGGAAAGATATGAAGATGTTGTCTGCTTTACTGACATTTCTAACTATTGTCGTGAAGATGTCGGTGCTTCTACTTGTTGTTTGGGTTTGGACGGAAACACTGTTGAAGGTTATAGGTAAAGATTGCTTTTCCAAAATTTCAGCATACCCCGCAAATAAACCATCATCAAGTCGGTGAATATCACAAGTGATGATGGGTTGCTCTATGTTCCATAAGAATGAAGTATTCCCTGTGGTGAAATCACCACTTAAATTAACGAGGGGTTCATTAGCATCACTGACCAAAGTTAGTTCAATGACAATCGGACAGTATGACAAAGGAATGAAGTTTGACACATTGAAGAAGGGACAAGAAGGTCGGTAATATACAGTCTTTTTGTTTTTAAATCCACCGAAATTGTCAGGTTTGGCTTGGTCAATGACATTCTGAACTGTGTTTGAACCTGGGTTCGTTGCCAACTGCGTATATGTCAAAAATCTATTTCCTTCATTGTAAAAGGTCTCACCAAAACCAAGATTGTCAGTATAGTTTCTTGAACCATCATCTTGTAAAATATCCATCATTGCTTCATAGCGGTTTAAGTCAGGAATTTCAGCAATAACATTTGAACCCGCCATCACTCGCATTCGTTGAAAAAATGAAGATGGTTTATAGGCAGGTCTTAACTCTTTTGTTCCGTCATTGTCGGCATTGATGAGGGTAAAACCTATCAAAAGACTTCGCAGATTTATCCATTCGTTTGCTCCACCGGTTAGGTTAAAGCGGATGGCACTGTTTGAGTTGGATGAGTAAGTAGAAACCGAAGAAGGGTAGAATGTTTTAATGCGTTTGTCTCTAATGTAGGACGCTCCACTTTTTAGTCTATACCGAAGGACATTTTCATTGAGAACATCTGTAGTTTCTAATGCTTCCATACTTGTATATATTCTATATAGAAAATTTTATTGATATAATCAATAAAATTTACTTTAATAAGTTTTCTTTTGAAAACTTATTTCAGATTTTTTTTGGTGATTAGGTTATATTAAATTAAGTTATATCAAAGTTATATTTTTTAAATGTATTTTTGGTTTTCTTCCCTTTGTTTTGGGGTTTGTTTTCTATAGGTTTATTTTCGTTGTTCTTTATGTCTTTTCCACTCTCTATGACCTTCTTGAATTCATTCTATGTTAGATGTTTTTTCTCTTTGGTATTCTCGTTTTTCAACTTATTCATTTCCTGTCTGTTGTTCTTCAAGTATTCCCTTACAATGTCTTCCATATAATATGACTTATATAAATAAAATTACATTATCTTGTTGATTGGTTCTGCCACATTCTTTTCTGACTTCCCCATATCTCCAAAATGGACGGCGTGAAAGCCGTGATTGTATAAAGGATTATAACTGTTCTTATTGACTGTTATATCCACACCTCTGTCAAACATACTGACTGGGTCGCCTACTGCCCTGAACCTCGTGTTCTTACTGTTAGTGTTGTCATTAAAACTTACGGTTGGTGTTCCGTAGGTTCTGGTGGTAAATCTTTTGTTATAGTCTTGGTTCAGTTTCATCGTTGTTGCTGAACCCAAGGAATGACTGACGATTGTATCAACATTATCAATGTTGTTTCTGATGAAGTCGTTTGCGGTCTTATACCGCTTTGACCTATGAACCATATGAAAAGGTATGAGTGTGTCGTCCAAGATGTCTCTCGGAAAATCTTTCGTCCCCGCTATGTAAAGGGTTTTATTCTCTGGGTGGTGGTATAGTCCTAAATCTGTTCTGTTATTGTATGCTCTCTTCAGTCCCGTCTCGTCGTTGATGTTGCTGAATTCCTCCAAGTATTTGTTTCCCTGTTGTATCTCCTTACTGAATTTCTCCAACAATTCCTTCTGTTTGTTGTAGTGTTTCTTGTTGTATTCTTTACCGTCAATCTCTTTAAAGGGATTTATTCTTTGTAGTCGTCCCTGTGTTTTCATATCATCCATTCACCTTTTTTGAAGCATATATAATAATGTATAGAATAAAAAATAATTTTCTAAAGTTATTATATCATAAAAAATGAGTAGATTTAAAAAGATATACATAGACAGCCACCACCGAACCCAGAACTCCAACGGTAGTAGTGATTTTGAAATCTATTTACCTGAAAGTCAAGAATGCGGGAACGACACCAAACTATACATCCACGAAATCACCATACCTAATTCCATTTATCCAGTTCAAGCGGGGTTGAACAGCAACCTATACTTAAGACTGACGGATTTTTCAAACACTACGGATGTTACAATTGAACTGTTGAGTGCTTCCTATGTCGGTGCTACATACGAATAAAACACCAAGAAATCATAGACTACCTTAACGCAACATTTCCCTCATATCCAGATGGTTAAATCACAACAACCTCAACAAATCCTAACCACATTCAAACAGAAAGCCCCAGAAAAGTTAGCGACAAACAAAAAACAGAACATACAACACATAAAACATCAAAGGGAAGGAAGAAACATTGAACAAGAACATAAAAAAACATAACAGGCAAAACACCGTCAACAAAACCTACCCTCATTGAAACCAAACATTATTACAACAACCTAAAACATATATATATATACATATATATAGCAATATAACCAAAAAGAAACAGTCAAACATTTCAGATTACAAGATTGAACAGAACATAACAGCCTCCCACCTGACCTATTTTTTCCCACCATTTCCACAGCCTTGTGTTTGTGATTGATTGGGTCACCCGCTGCCCGAGACTACTCTTGACCATTTCTTGTTACTGTTTTGGCATCGCTCTGTTTGTCTCGTGGGAACCACTAGCGTTTCCCAATTTGGAGTGGTACCAAACAGCCTTTCTGATTCGGCTGATCTGCGAATTCCCGATGCTTTAATTTAAGTAAGCTTCACACAGACTGAAATCCACATATGGCTGGTGAGATCAAGAAAACGTTTTGGCTTCACCTCAAGTTCACCATATCGCTCTCCATAGTTTGCGATACATATTCAAGGATGAGACCTCTCACTTGAAGGTTCTTGCTTCGACAAGGACCCTTGAAATATATTCTCATATGTTTCCCCATCTATGTCCCCATGGCCATGTTATTCCCATAGTGGTTAAGTTACTATTCCCCGAGTGAGTTGGCTGATAAACCCCATAGGTTGATAGATCTACCACAAAGCATTGAATTCAGCGAGTGAACTAAACCAACTTTGCTATCGTTTGGGGGCCCCATCTTGTAGAAACCCACCTTTGCTGCCAATTAGATAATGTTTTGGGGGCTCTGTTGTTAGTGGTTGAATAATGGCTATCATCGTAAATGATTAAGATATCAGATATCCCAGAATAATCCATTAAATTGTAAGATTTCACTCACCTGAAAAGTTTGGCTATATTGGGATAATTCCCCCTCTCCGAACCATCATTCCAGGGTTCGGTCGCAGTGAGGTCGTTATAATTTACCATTTACCCAGATCATTGCTTCCCACTTAGTAAGTGGTTTTTGATCCATATATTTATATGTACATATATATATGTATGTATATATATATGTGTGTGTGTGTATGTGTGTGATTCCCATAATCCCACTTAAATAAGTGGGGATATATTCCATTCATCCAACTGGGGGTACAGTAACCCGCCCCAATTCATCCCATCCCATGGTGGAAACCACCGAGGCACTCAGCGCTCCCGCAGCCACCACCTCCGACGAGGCCGTCAGTGTCCACATGGCACTGAGCCCGTCATCCGTCACCTGACCACTGGGGATTCGAGCAGCGAAACCCGAGCAGCCTCCAGGTGCCCCTAAGAATGGCTAACCGGCCTGGTAAACATAGAATATAGAGCTATTGAAGCCATGGCCCAGTCGATTTCTAGTGGATTTACCCATGAAAATAGCACGATGGTGATTTTCCATAGTTATATGGCTGTTTACCAGAGGGTAACAGATAACATAGATGTGGAAAATCCCATGGTTTTCCGAAGTGATCTACAAATCGTGGCTTCTCCAGGTCTATGTGAAGGTTTACCAGAAGGTCACCAACACAAAAGAATTTAAACATGGATTGAACAATTTATTGGTTTAACCAAAGATAGGCAACCATTGACTTACTATCAACCAAATTAGTGTTGTTTTCAATAAATTAACGTCAATAATGTCAACAAAAAATGCAAAAGTTGGATTGATTAAAGAGAACATTTATAGGAAAGCGTGGTTCTTCATGTCAGAATTTGCTGGTGGGTCCGGTATTTGTCCCTTCAACCAAGTCTAGGAGAGTTTGCAAGCGCGTCCGCAAGTGTATAGCTGGGTATAGCTGGGTATATCCCTTCTAACTTGGCTTGATTATATGCTGACAACTTCCGAACTGGGATGCAGATCCAATTGAGGTACACCCGGTGACTAGGTCCCTTTTCTGCACCCTGTGATCGGTAGCTGGAAGTTTATGGTATATAGTACAGTATAGTACGGTAAACATATAATGTGGGTAAAACAATTTCATACACCATCCCCCAGTCATCACCATTTTTATAGGTGCTATATATGGTGCTATGGTTACCATCCCCCAGTCGTGGGTGGTTTATGACCGATCCAGGCCTGGAGACAATATCCTTGAGGCCTTGGTCGAAAGATGAAAAACCGGGAGCCGTGTCCCTTTTGGTGATGACGTGATGTTTAAAATGGAGCGTATGTATATATATATATAAAGACGTAGATATAGATATAGATATTGTTGTTGAATGATACTGAATGTTATTTGTGCATATTCATCATATTCGTGTTACATGTATTTAGTTGTTTTTCCCAAACTATGTTTTCTTTCTTCATTCAGTGGTCCTCTTGGCAGTGGATGACTGGGAGATCCCAAGGGTTGGTTGTGAATGCAGTGGGTTTGCCCATCGACCAACTTGCTGGATCCTGGAGAATTCAAGGATCCAACTTGCCACCGGTGTTGAAGAAGGTATAGCGAAGAACCTCACATGGCGAAGTGGGATGATTGGGGCATGGGATGAGGGGATGATTGGGGATGATTGGGGATGGGTACAACTTAACATCGAGCAAAATGTCGTTGCTATCAGGGAGGTTGACATGCTCTTGTCAAGTCCCTGACAAGATGAAGCATAAAACCTACCAGAGATGAGAGGCTGAAAACTGTAGCTGCAGACAGATCTGTGTTTAGCGTCGCACCCTGGCGCAAAGACCCACATAGCGAGCCTGTTGTCCCCAGCCGGGGTATTTTCATCATGTCAATGTGATTTCCAGGATTTTCCAGGGCTGATGCTCAACACGCCTCTGGCCCAGCAAACAGCAATTCCCTCGTGATTCAACATAGCTATGGGAGAATGCCAATCTATAGACGATTTCCCCATTGAAAAATGGTGAATCCATAGCTATTACATTCTTAGTCGTTTACTGGAGGCTAGGTCGCTTCCACAACAAAAACAAGAAGCGCTTGCTGCTTGACTTCACCACCAAAAAAATCAACTTTCTTGGTGATGGAACAATAATCAAACAATATATATATATGCACTATATATATATGTATAACTAGTTGGCAGCAATGTGTCCATTATTCTTAGGTATAATTCCTGTGATGTTAGTTTGGTTGTAGAGCTATTTTCATTACTAAACCGGCAAAGAGGAACACAGGATTCAAACATACTTCCAATCCCTGCGCACAATTTAGATATTCAGGTATGACTCCAATCTACCAGCTAGACTAGCGTCATACCTGAAGATCTAAATTGTGCAGAAGCAAGGCAACACATCAAAAATAACATGTAGATAAAGAAGCAAATACACAAGACTAGATGCATAAACAAGAGAATAATAGAACATAGTAATTAATAGTAATACAATAGCCGATTAAGAATAGATAATAGTCAATTAAGAATAAACAATAGCAAATTCAGAATAGATAATAGCATATAATAGTAAAATAAGAACAAACAATAGTAAATTCAGAATAGATAATAGTAAATTAAACGCAAACAATAGTAAATAATATTAGTAAATAAAAAAGACAACTTGCCTGACAAAAACCCAACGAACTCAGGTCCCTCCCGCGTCGCCTTGCGACTTCGCTTTTTGCCTTCCTCCAACAGACTGAGGACCGTCTGGTGGCCTTGGGCACAATACGATCCCTCCATGGTAGCTCTCATCCATGTCACGATATGGTGTTTACCAGGACATTCCGGTGGTTTTGCCAGCAAAAAATGTAGGGATTCAACCGGAAAACAATGGAAACCGATAAATGATAAATGGATGTAATGTGATGTAAATGGGTGATGTCTTAGTCTTGCAATCCCCAGAACTGGGATACAGGTGGATAATGGATGGGTCAACCAGCTGTAACACAAAAAAAAAAAGCTTAGACCTGGTATACCACGGAATTTACCATCAAGTAGGGGATGCTGAAATTGAGATGGTTACATTGGTCACTGAGCCCCTTCTGAGCCATTAAGTCTCCGGACCAAACGGCTGTAGAGGCGTAAACTTTCCTGATGTTGGTCCTTCAAAGCCTTGGGAGGCACTGGAATACATGCCCCTTGGCTTCAAGGGAAACCTCGTTTCTAGCTTCAAAGAGGGCGGAGCATGCTATAACCCACGAAAGACAGAGGTATAGCAGTACAAACACTACGCAAATTCTTCGAACATCTGCAAAATTACAAAGGGGATTCTGACTGAAGAATTGCGCTGAATAATTGGAAGCAACGAACTCCAGCTACTGAGTGGCCATTGGAAACAACAGGTTTGTATCTTGGTCTGCTACGTGCTGATACCTCCACGTCCACATCTGTCCAGTTGGTGCCTGCTTGGGAAGATCTGAGTGACTCACCCAGGAAGGGGGTGGTCACGGTCATCCCTTAAAAGAAACATGTAACATGTGGATCTCCTCACCACAAAACCTATTCACAATGGGAAATATACTAATGCAATATGCTGGATCTTACCCGCCATTCAGAAACTAACATAATTAGTCCTACCAGTTCCAGGCCCAGGGTGATGCAAAACTGTTAGTTGGAGGTACCCTCTATTCCTCTTAAGACTCTTGTAATCTAGTTATGGCAAACCGACATGTTTTCATAGGCAAATCTACAAGCAGACCATTTTCCATAGCTATCTTCCCCACCTCCAAAGAGCGTGAGAGGCTCAGGGGCTGCACCGCTCCAACCGATTGGAACCTGCAACACCTGGTAGCGCCGAAGGTCGGAACTGGATCACCTTTCGGAAGAACATGGAAGACCTATACATCGAACTAAGTAGAGAAGGGGTCAACTTGGCTGTGCGCCCTAGTTGTGAAACAACTCGATACTACATTTTGCACAAACGGTAATCGAATCGAACAAAATAACACAGCTTCCAAGCCCACTTATCCCATTGTTTGTGGGTTGTAACACTTGAACTGTGTGTTTTCAAGTACCACTGGCCGCACATTCGGACAGATGCGCCTGCTGTTGAAGGACTCGGTTCAGCCTGGGGCTGATATGCCTTATACCATCCAGTAATCAAACATGGCAATTGGAATTTTTACTGGAAATAGGGCTTTGTACCCTCTGGTAAACTAATGTAACCATGGAAAGATCCACCATTTTGAATGGGTAAATCCACTATTTCTATGGTCATTTTCAATAGCTATGTTAGTTTTTACCAGAGGGTAATCGGAAGGTCAACAGAATGAATGCAAAAGGGAACAATGATGGAACATGTGGGAATGCGACAACGAGTTCTTCTTGCAAATTCCCTTCGTCATGTTGATGTTGCCAATTCAAACAGTGAGGGAAGCATGAATCTCCCAACACGCTTTCTTTAATCTGAAGAAAGACCTGGGACAGGGACAGGTCAAAACTTCGTATCCCAAACAGGTGAGTGGATTGAAGTGGATTCATGTACTGCAGTATCAGTTTTTGACATTTTGGCTCAAACGGCATCGGCATTTTTCTGGTGGCCAAGTTTCCTCCAAGGGTCATCCACACCAGATCCAGATCCTGCCTGGTCCCCCTCACCAAATCCATGTCCTGGCTCCAAGGGGAGGAAAGGACTTCCTCCGAGAATGACCGCCCAAAATGCAATGCTCAAGATATCCTTGGATTGCGATTGGTCCAGCGAAAAAAAAGTCTTGAAGGATGACAAGTACTGACAGTTTTGAAGCTTGAAATCAAGCTGGTGATCTCACCTTTCAACTGACCTCATGCTTACAGGCTTCGGCCCTTTTTGGGAATATGGAAACAAGCTTTAAGGTCTGGAAGCTGGCCGTACATCATGGTAAAAAGAATTAGTTTCAAAAAGGCTCTGTCAAATGGTGCTCCAACACGTGTACATCAAACTGATCTGAACACAATATAAAATAGACAAACAAACAAATAAATACATGTACATACTTATATACATATATTTAAAACACATATTTTGGACCCATTGATCTTGATGATCTTGATGGGTAAATGATGGTAGCATTGGGCTCCTTGGCTGCTTGGCTAGCCCTGATTTGGTGCTCATCGGCCCCAGCTTCCCCGTGCGCCTCAACGACTTCGAAGGTCCCACCCTGATCTGCAAAGAACGGAGGCGATCGATGCAGCTCCACAGCATCAAACTCCTAAGGTGGGAGTGGGAGGTGTGGTCCTTGAGGATCATCATGCCATTGGTTGAAACCAGCCAGGATGCCCAACATATCGACAAACTGGAAGAAACAAATGATGGAAGCTCCCCAAGTTACTTTTTGCTGCCACTTTGGCGCTGTATGTGGTTATCTGGGTAGTTTCATAAAGCAAGACACTCGTTCTTTAGTGCCCCCTGCCATTGGTGAAACCGTGAAACCACAGCTAGAAACCGAACCCGACCATGGGGTTGATAGTCCGAGGTATTGGTGTAGCAAATTTTGAAGGTTCTTTTCCACACTCATCTTGTCAATGCCGGTTGCATGTAGAATTTCAGAGGTTTAGCTGGCTACAACTGTGCCTAGCCGGCCTAGCCCCAGCCTCCTGAAACGGAAGCGGAAAGGGTGCTGGCTGAGGAATCTCAGGCGCGTCCTGGGAACCGCCAATGGGTATACGATGGTATACGCCAAAGAGAGAGAGGGCTACAGCTTGATGCAGCCAAAACATCATTCCACACTCTGATGTTTTCAGAATCATCAGAATCTAGAATCCTTTAGGGGAAACCGTTCTGGCTGGCTATCCACTCCTTGACAAGAAAGAAACGCTTCTCCATTCAAACTTCACCTGCAACTTCAACCAATTGAAATGTTGGTTTTAATGGAATGATGTATCACCAAATCATTAGGCCCATTTTAGATACTGTAACTAAATGGATGCACTTAGCAGGACCGCCTAAAAAAATGTACAGAGATGTACAAAGTTTCCATCTTCTAGCGTTTCGTACCCGTTCATCGGCCTTGCTGAACCCGTGATTTCCTATCATTGTTGCAGCCCAATTACCGAGTTTACATGTACATAGTTCATATCTCCCCATGATATTTCTCATATAAAGTTCCAAGTTGGAGATATTTCTACCCAAATCTGGGGAGATTTCATAGGCAACCCACCCGACACAACTTCTGTCCTTCGGACTGGAGGCTCTTTGGCCTTGCTTTGTGGCCTTCGGGCAGTGGCCAATCATCAAGCAGTGGATTCAGGGATTGCTTTTGGGACACATTACATCGATCATTTTGGCCACGAGTATATACCCTCTGGTAAACTAACATAACTATGGAAAATCCCCATTTTTACTGGGAAAACTCACTAAAAATGGCCATTTTCAATAGCTATGTTAAATTACCAGAGGGTAGTTGTTTTTTGTTTTGAATCAATTTTGGGATATCCCATGTTTGTTGGATCAAAAAAATGATCATGTTGGATTATCCGAGTAATTATTCCAGAAGAAACAACAACACATATGTTTAAAAAAGACCCCCGGTACATTTGCATGGCGCAGGGTTGGCACCTCATGCAGAGTGCTGATGGTGAGAATGGCATCCACCTCCATAGAAATCCTGTGGATTTCCAGCGGAGACCCTGCAGTTGGATGGATTGTTGACGGATACACTCCAGTAATTTAACATAGCATTGGAAAATGGTCCATGTATTGATGATCTACCTATATTTACCTGAAAACAGTGATAGTTTTCCATGACTATTTTTAAAACAAAAAACAAAGTAGGCTTCCAACTGGTGTATAGAGTTACATGGGTTTATAAACCAACTTACTCGACTAAACTGGAGATATCTATTCTATCAAGGCCTATGTCAGGTCCAGGAAGGGAAAATCCAATCGATCTATCGCATCCTTAGGGGCCCCCATGGGACCGCCAGGGGCCCCACTTCCCTGATTCTCTCATGACTATGTCAATGGTTTCAACATCTTGCATGCATATGACATATGGGGATGGGTCAAAACCTTGTACCCCTGGTGAACATCAAAATAGCTGCTAAGTGGATGTTCATCCCCCTAAAATCCATCCGCATCTCGATTTCTGCCTTTTTAAACTTGCCATTTTTTGCTGGTCACGAGTCTTTCTGGCTAACCATGTTTGATAGGTTGATTTACCTCCGCACTTGGGGTGGCCAACCCCAGGCTTCCTACTGTTCCTTCTGTTCTTTAAGAAAACATCTACGGGGATGTTTACCAGCGGTGAACCACTACAGTACCTTACCAACCATCAACGAGCCATAATGCAGTGCTTCCACCACCCAAAATGCTAACAAAACAGCCATCTGTCGATAAACATATGATCTCCATCTCAAGTAAGATACGTATGGAACAAGAAACAACATTTGTACATGTATATATATATATATGTATATAGATCATTTTCCTAGGGCTTCCCCATGGATTTTTTCCAGAAGGTATCACAGTGTTGCTGTGTCTTTGTTCAACCTCCCAAAATGGGTTCTGCAAACAACATAACATATGCTAGCTGGCAAATGGTTTCAGAATTTCAACCGCCCTATCAAAATTATTAGTCAGCTACGAGGGTTAGTTGAATCCCCATGAGCCTCCTTTCTTCAACATTGCTTAGTGTTACATAATGTTACATAGTTCTTACAATGTATTATACTGTAATATTGTTATATATAACATTATACGATATTATATGAATATACAAGGTTCACCTATATATATTCATATATATATTCTGAATGTTCTCATCGTTGTCATTGTCATTTTTGATTTGGTTAAACCCCCCAGTGAAACCCATTCGACTTGGGCCGCTCTTGCCTCAAGATTCCTTCCGGATCCACGCGTAGATCTTCGAGGCGCCGGAACCTTGACGGCATGGCTTGGGGTCAAGTGGGATTTCCACCGTCATTGCTACAAACTGCTGTAGAAACCCCCCCGGACTTACAAGGTTTTTGGATGTTAAGGGTACACATACATAATATATATATATATATTATATATATATATATTGTATATATAATATTGTTATATATTATTGGAATGCCATCAGCACCGGTGATATAGGGATGAATAAGGATGAGCAAGTCACCGTAGGTTCTGGGATGTAACGGGGTCAAAACATGTGGCAACTCTGGACGATACGATCTCATGGGCAATCTTATCAAGCAGAAACGCGATCTGTAGCTGGGTGCCCGGGTATTATATATGTAGCCCCGTGTTCTGAATTGTTATGGCATCTTATGGCATGTTATGGCATCTTATGGCATGTTATGGCATCTTATGGCATGTTATGGCATCTTATGGCATGTTATGGCATCTTATGGCATGTTATGGCAACAATTCAGACGGTATAAAATGCATAAATATGATTAAATATGTATAAATTACATAAATTGTTAAACGACCCAACCAAGGTCTAACCAGTGGAGCTTAACCTCTACTTCCACAAATAGCTGAGTTCTACACCAGTGGGTGGCATTTGTGGCCCACACCTGCGCACAGAGTCGGCTTCCAAGGTTGATGTGCGGTCCATGCATTGTAGATTCTATGGATCCAATATACACAGGTTATCACATGTTATCACATGTTATCACAGTTTAGCAGCATGTATTTAAGAATGCGGTGTCCCAATCCATGATTTCACAATGTTTCACAAACCCACAGGCCTGAAATCAAGAAGGCTTGAAGCAAATAATGTAACTCCCACCGAAAAGGGCGCCTCCAAGTCTCTGCCGCGTGCTGCAGCAGTGAGGTTGTCTTAGACAAAGTATGACAAAGTCAAGTTTGGCTCAAAAGCTGGCTCACAATTCCAAATCCAGGGATTTTCAATCTACCTGGAGATTCCATTGTAGCACTTTTTTCTGGCAACCCCCTGGTTGGATACACTTTCTGCCATCCCTGAGCGTTTTTTGAGGGTCTGCGCACTTTTTGGGGGTTTCAATGGATATGAGCAATTTTTGGGGTTCAAACCCATTTTACACCTTCGTAGTATCTATTAAACTCTTGGAGAAATCCACAAAGTTACAGTAGCCCATACTCAAGCTGGTGGAAGCCAATCCTGGAAGCGAGTTTTGCATCTAAATTAGCATCTATCTCCTAATTTATGCTTCCTGGGGAGGATGCACATTGGGACCAAACTCAAAAGAATTGATTCTACACATTTGTCTGTGTTTTGACATTTTTTGACGTTTTGGACAACTTGGTACCCCGCAATCGGGGCGCAAATTCGCTCAATCAGGGCGCAATTTCGCGCAATCGGGGCGCAATTCAAAAAGTGTACGGGCACTACTGACACTTGCCTCCCAAATGTGGATATTCAATAGCTTAAGTGTCTAGTTCGGCCCATCCAAGTGAATTTGATGACTTACTTGAAGCAGCGGCGAACGATGTTGGTTGCGGAGAGCCTAAGCAGCGTGATCCTAAGCATAGCGTGATTGTGTCAGTGTATGTTGCAAGAATCCTTGGGGATCCGGCTGTTTGAACATGTGGGGGTGCCCGACAAAATGAAACAACCAAATGAGCACTTTTTAAGGGTTTGTAGCACTTTTTTTGGAAATGAGCGTTTTTTGTTTCTGAGCACTTTTTAGTGTATCGAAGGAAAGTTCAGGTAGTTTTAAGCTTTCATTGACATAACATGACATAACTACCGTAGACTGGGGGCTCCACGATTTTGGAGAAACCCAAACGTCAGAAGTCTTAGACCATGTCATCATCAAGAGGTTAATGTGGATCCAACTTGGGAAACTGAAAGGATCAGGATGGGTGGAAGATGTGGATGACGGCAAGCGCACCACACTAACAAACTATATGCAAAACACCATCATGAATAATTATCGAATAGGGATCAATAGAGCTCGAAACACATTTGCCGCTGATCAAATTCATTGAGTCCACTGAGCTGCCGACCACTCAGCTGGAACTCTAGATGCTGCACCTCCTGCGGCGTCTTCGTGTGAAAGCATCCGTCGTGGTACATGCAGCGGCCTGGCAGTGGATCGATCCACTGCAGCGGGATTTTTCGGGGGTCCTACTGGAAATTCATGGCGTTTTTTCTTTTAACGTTAGTGTGCATATGTGTGCATGGTCAGTGGTCTTCAACTAGTTTGGCCAACCTTGACCTTCTGGTTGTTGGAAGAGGGGCTGGTTTGGTATACCATGTACAGAATCGCCCGTTGTGAGAACGCTGGTGACCCCTCTGCGGATCAACCGGTGGGGACATCCATGGTGTCACCTGTGAGTGTCTCGATGACGATGGTGAAGTCGCTCAAGTCGGAACTCGCAATGGTGACATAGGTGCCACCCTCCTGGTGCATCTCTCCAACTTACCCCCCAAAATGTGGCAGAGATTGGCCGATTTTCAATGTTGCAACTCATTCAAACATGATTCAAACTCCATTGCCAATTCCAGGGAGAGAAAAAAACATGAAACCAGTAATCCGGTCATATTTGGTGGTGTCCTGAAATAGGGGTACCCCCAGATCATCCATTTTAATGGCATTGTCCATTATAAGCCATCCATTTGGGGGTACCCCTATTTATGGAAACCCCCATTTGTTAACCTGTTCCAACTCAGTGATCCCACAGGAGGCCACCCAAGTCGACCATCCATATCCAGCGTCTCCGGCAGTAGCCCGGCAGCATCGCCCACGGGCAGGTAGTTCCAGCCTGATGTCTGTCCAAATGGCGAGGCCCGTGGACCTCCAAGTTATGGCTAGAAACAATGGAGAAAAAACGCTTGAAAACTCACTTCAAACCATTATGGTTGAATAGTGGTAGAACATGGTAACACCTATTTTCACAAAAATGATGGAACATGATGGAACCTAGCTTGCCAAGGCATTATGAAAGGACAGTCTTCTCCAAAGTCTCGCAAGTATTGTCCAACAAGAAAGACTGGCCTTGGCATCTTCCAGCGGTTTCTGTCAACATTGTGAATTGCAGTGGTAAAATTGGGCAAGCGCCCCAACATCAACAACCTCTACACCAACACCTTTCTTCCAACAACATTTGATAAGGTATTTGTATATGTGTTTATCTTTCACTGGTGGCTCCATGGTACAACGTGCTGCTAGTCCCCACACAGCCTATTCATGGCATGTTCTTCTCAAAATGGTGAGGAAAAATCACGCCAAAACAGATCTTTCCCATCAAATTTTAGGGGATTACTCAAAAAATGTTCATGGAACAACCTAAACCTCCCCATGTTTTCAGCTTCACTATCGAGCATCCGCACCAAGCTTGGTGAACTGCGTGGTGTGCGCGGAGGTCCACAGCGGTGCCATCACCTCGCAGAATGCGATCAGCTCCAGTCGCAGCGTTTGGTGTCGTGTTTTTAGTGTGACACATGCTGGTACCAAAAAGTTGGATTTCAGCGGCAAATATGGTATACATATATATATATATATATGTTGTATTATAAATAAATAAATAAATGAATAAATATATATATATATATACACATTACATTATATATATATATAAATTATATATATATATTATATATATTATTATATACATTGCTTTAATTTATATATATATGTATTATGAGGATAGGATTTGATACAACTTAGATGGGTTTGTCCCAAAATGGTGGATGTTTTAGATAAGTCCAAGTGGCGAGAAGATTGTGCTTTTGTCCAAGAAACATTGCACTGGAGAATATTCCATTTATTGATTATTTTACATTATTTTCTCATATTGGAACCTATTCAGTAAGACATTCGTGCGGGTAAACTTAGAAGAATCGCATGGATGAGGAATCCAGGAGAATTCTCTTTCGCCATAAGAGATTGGTGGTTTCAACCCATCCAAAGAATAGCATATGAGATGGTGATTTATATAATATGCTTGAAATTACAACTGGATAACAATCAGCCTGTTTTCATCGGTTCTATCCCCATCATTGCTGGTGATATTCGCACTGATTGTTAGTTAAGTCCAAGTCCCCATTAAAATAATTGTTGCTGGGGCCAAGATTTGAAACCAGCCATCGAAATACTGAAGACTGGTGAATCTGTTGTTTTCATGAATTCCACTTAAGTATAATCATCCCAAACAATGCAAATAGGGTTAATTTACCATTCGGAATTGGATTATATATGTTCATGCATCATTTTGGGGTTATGATACTCATCCATGATAAATGTCCCAATAATTGCAGTACTTAAACCAACGATTTCAAACCACCGACCATCACAATCCTGCTCCATATCCAGCTCTTAGATTCTTAGATCACACTATGACATTTTTTTGGTCAACCTGCACGACCCCTTGTTTATCGGCCTCATAATGCCCGCTCCAGGGTTCGTAGGCATACAGGAGGCCGTTACCGAAGCATTCCAGGTTGGGATACACACTCCTGGCGATCGAGAAAACCATGGGCCATGGTGCTATGGAACAAAAAAATGGGGAAACCAAGTGAAACACAATTATCCAACTGTCTTCTGTGATTAAGACAAACACAAAGACATGTATGGGATAGTATGGGTAGTATGGGTATCTTAGCGGTCTTTAACAAATCCAAGAGCTTCACATCCGACAGTTAAATTTGAATGCCCCCTAATCTGAGTTTGGAGTATCTATCAACGCTTTGGTTTGAGGGAAACCGACAGGAAACCATTTCCTGTTTCTTTGTCATCACTGTAGTGAACAGAAAGATTGGTTGGTGGTTGTGCCACCCGGGTCCAAAACAACGTGAAAGTCAAGTTTGCATCATCACAGCCACCAACCATTGGTGAGGCGAAGGGAGAAGCAAAGGCAGGACACCATCAACAAAACATCCCGTAAATTGGTCGGAAAACCACGGCCCAGGGTACAACAAAAATATGGTTCCAACAACGATTATACAACCCGCAAAGCAACAGGGAAGGTGGAAGCAGAATAGACCCAATCAATGCACAACGACATAACCAACATGCTGCAAGCAAAGCCGGCAGTGCCAAATCAAAGACCATGCGATTGAAGAGGTTGCTTTCATTCGCACCTGCAGCTGTTGCACTACGTGACCAGGGGATTGTAATGTAATGAGTGGTATGAGAAGAATATGGTATTTCCAGCTCAGCCTTCCCAAAAAAATTCGGCATTGCAAGCTACTCCCATCACAATCATCATATGTCCTGTTCAAATTCTCCCATGCCATTCACACAGAATTTTCCTAAAACGGATACCCCCAAATCATCCAATGCAATACGATATTCCATTGTAAACCATCCATTTTGATCCATTTTGGGGTACCCCCATTTTCAGACAACCCCACATTTTCGTAAGACTCCCGCTAAGACCCCGACATAGTTCTGATTGATCATGCGGCCCCAGCAGCCAGCCCCACCCCAGTCTGCCACGGTTGACAGTTCCTCGCAGGCAGGAGCGCAGCAACAGGGTTACCCTCTTCTAATTTAACATAGCTGTGGGAAACGGATGAACATGGCCAATTGCATGAGGTAGCCTGCGCGGGGTATGGTTTCTAAGGTGTTCCTACGCAAACGCGGTGTAGGCTTTGCCTACGCGGCTATGATTCCTTTTTGTTTCCAATTGTCGCATGACGTTTGGCTGTGCAAATGGGATGCTGGGAGCTACTCGTTGGTAGATGATGACGAAGACGATCCAGAGGAGGAAGAAGATTGACACTACAACTAACCAATGCAAAAGTGAATGCTGGGTCCTAACTGTTGTCAACGAGTGTCTACGCAAAGCCTACGCCGTGTAGGCTAAATCAAGCCTACGCGACTGCCTACGCAACCTACGCTCTCTGCATGGAAGCCTACGCCAGGGGCATAACATGTCCCCACTCTATTTCCATTTTTGCATCCAGAAAAAAAGCGCTACTCATATAAATATACAACGTATATAACTAAGAACTATATAATATATTATGGTATATATCGTACTTGTATTTTTCTTAGCTATTGTTAAATTTCCGGAGGGTCTCAAAATATTGGAAATCACGTTCCCATTTTTTCTCAGCAAGCCCCATGATGTTGTTCATATATCTTGAATTATATAACAATATAAATAAATAAACAAATAAATATATATATATATATATATTCAAGTTGAACTAATTCACAAATCTCAAAAGTGTGGCCAATCGGCGGTGATCTAACGGTAAAAGAACCCATCTATCCCAGGAGATCACCACCATGGACTTCATGGAGAACAGCTCGTGCACATGCCACGCCCACGGCCACGGCCTCTGAAGACCAAAATCGTGTGTGCGGGTGCGCTTCCAAGGCATCTAGCAACTTTGGGTCAGAAACGCCTCATGGCGCGGACGCGGTGGCAACCCCAATGAGCTTCGGAACTGGTCAGTAGTGTCTCGGTGGGCTTTTAATAACCTGTTTGTGGGGATAACATATGAGAAAATATAGAAAATATAATGATAATGGGATATTAAACTAACCAACAGTAAATTATAGGACGTTCAATTGCCATGTTTGATTTTAAGTACATGATACAATGAGAATTGACAGGGAGCATCTACTTCGATCATCTCACGAATGGTCAGTGCTTAACCGAACCCTGGTTAGCAAGCCCCCTAAGTGGGGTAACCCATTTAGGTTTATTCTCCAAGTACTATGATGTTCCATTGCGTTTGCGGAAGAAAATCGCAACGAACCCTAAAATGGATAGAACCTGATAACCTGATAAATTACGCGTCCTGTCGATGTTCAAACGCTGTTGCTAAATGTTGCTGATCATCTGTCAAGAGCCGCCAGGTCACAAAGTGGGCATCGAAATTATGGGAAACACACAGCCCTGACCCCCATTGCTTCACACACCCAATGGATCATCCAGGCTACATTTGACTGATCTGTATTGATCTTTACCGTCTCATTGTAGCAAATTTGTCATCGGGGTATCATTTTTCCATTCAAAACCCGTGCCCCAAAATTCCCTGGGGCTCCAGCAAGGGTAATGCAAACCCACTGCTGCCACCAGCTCTTGAAAACGTTCATCGCGTCGAAAGAGGGAGAGAAAATCCGCACTGGCGGTGCTGGAGGCTTGATCCTTGGACCCATGGAGATCTGGGCCGCCAAAGAAAATGAAGCATGCCTACATAGGATATATAATATCCACCAGTAGTGTGCCCAAATAGTGGATTTATATGGATTCATCATGATTCATCCAATTGATGCCCCAAAATAAAACACCGGCATCTTCGGCAAATCCAGGTGTTGAGGAAGGGTATGGTGTTGGTATCTTTAGACCTTCAAGGGGTTGAGGCCAGGGTGTCACTGGTCACACCCTGAGGTCAACGCCAGAAGAACCAGCTGGGTACTTAGCTCGGCATCCTGCGCTCACACATGGGCACAACGCATCGCTGTGTCAACAAAAAAGGTATGAAGTACAAGTTGGATGTCGAACTCAGTGAATTACAGCTTTGTCCAAAAATAATCCACAGTTGTTCTATGTTCTGGAAACATGTCCTATATCAATGCTTTCTATTTCGAAAGTGGAGTTCACTACTCAAAACATTGGAAATATCGGGATATATATATACATAGGTACACGTATATAAATGTATATATATATGTGCATAAATATACATACATATATAAATATATAATTATATAATAACATATGTTACTGTAAGTTATATGTATAATTAATTATATCAGTATAGATATGATATGCGGAAATATGATGAACTATGGGAACACTGGAAACACAAAAGTACCAGGCCCCTTACTGATCTTACTGTGCAATTCAGGAATCCTCCCCATTTTACAACTCCCAGCTCTCCTTGATGGCAGATGCGAGATCAAAGACGTACCAAACGTCACCTCGGTGGTGCGGACCTTACAAACCCTTCCCAATCTGCTCCGTGGATGGAATAGCAACATTTACCACCAAAATGGTGCACATATATGATAGCATATGGAAAAGATCTGTTGTTCTAAACATGCAATCAACAAACATTACAGTACATGGATGGTGGAAAGTGGAAAAACTCCATCTATGGCCCAAAAACTCACCATTGAACCTACCACCAACTCCGGGTGCCAGACCCCAGGGCATCTCATTCCAAAGTCCCATGTAATCAATGTCAATGTCGTACCTTTCCTTCGCAGGCCAGGGGCTGCCAGCTTTTTCAAGCACGGTTTTGTTGATCCGTCCATCTCCAATAAGAAGCACTTGTGTTGGCATGATAGTGGCATACTTTACTGCCAAAAAAAACTCTTGAACAAAGGACAAGGTTAAAATCGCGTCAGAAACTGTCAGAAACCCTGGTTTTATGACCAGTGAACCAGAAAATTTGCCTGAACATCCTGAAATGTTCATCCCCAGAACCTCTTCTGTAACCCGCCTTGATGCACTTCAACCACGAGACATGGTAGTGGATGTTGTCCTGCAAGTCTAGAGTCCCTTGTAGTAAAAAACACATAAAAAAAAAAAACATAACATATTTTTGTTGGCCGGTTGAATGTCCCCGGCAGATTATCATAAGATCAAAATCTACCAGGGTACCAGAAAGTGATCAATTGCTTGCAATTCAAATGGTTTAAAATCAGCAAGGAATTATATAATTGAACAATTAGACAATTAATCACTTTTGTAATCCCTCCATTTCCACGCAGGTTAGGCTTCCGTTCATACCAGCTTCTGCCCAAGCGCTTGAAACCACCAGCGGGTAGTAACACCGATAGACTGTCAGTCATCCCCCGTACCGTAGTTGTTGGGAAAACGTCTTCTCTTTCATCGATAATTTGGGATTCTGTAATATATTCTCCCTAATTGGGCAAGAAGAACCAAGTAAGTGCAGTATATAAGCCCATGTTAACTCAACACATTATCTTGGACTGTTTTGGCCACCATGGGTATGGGTCATACTATCAACTCCTCAAACTACCCATATTGAAACGGACTTTGAGGATCTTTGAGATAACGAGATTGGAGGTATCTACCTTAAGGCATGTGTAAGGTTTATGTAGGGGCACATCCAGGGTAGCTGAAATGACCCTTCAAATGGGTTTGTCTGAGAAAAGGGTATTTTCAGATTTGATGTGTCATTCTCAGCCACATTTACACAGCCAATTGTTGGGCAACCCCAATGTTTCGTTCAATCCACATCTTGCGTTGCTCAAATCCCTATGTTTATGTCACTTCAATCCCCAAATATCGCAATAGTTGTCATATTTCGTGTATTTTCTTGTCATGTCGGTTGCATCATCTCCCTGTACTATAGCAATAGTCATCATATTGGTTATATAAAAATAATGCCCCAGTTTGTTTTTGGTTAAATCCATTTAAAAATCCCCATTTTCCCTCAATCTATTGGTATCTATAATTAATCCATCTATATAAATCCCCCTTTTTTCCGTTCCTTAAAACCCCTCATCACAAAGAAGGACCTGGCGCCCATGAAGCAAGCGCCAGGTAGCGGCCTCACTAAAGAAGGTGCCGTTGCCAATCCATCCAGGCACGCCCCAGGCCTCGAGTCGAGGTGTAGTTCGCTGGGAAAAATCACGGCAGATCTTGGATTTTGTCCAGCGAACTAAACCTCCATTTATATCCAGTTATATAGCTGGGCAAATCATCCATTGATATTCATTGATAGCTGGGAAAATCATCGCCAAGATTGAATTAAGATGAATTTGTTGTGTCATCTGAAATTTGAGGACATCTTCTGCACATGTTCTGTCCATCTTAGATTTGCTGACCAGAAAGCTGATGCAAAGAATGGCCTCTGATCCAATAGGGAACTTGCCATGGCTGCCACCAAAAAAAGGTAAAGTGACCCATGAAGCTATCCCACCTATGTTTTCCAACTCTCACCACTTGAGAACACGGCCAATGCGTAGGTTCGAATCAAAGGATTTCGTGCCTGCTCAGCAAGAGGAAGGATGGGCTAATACTTGGAGAACAAAAACAACAATCCCATCCCCCTGATATTAAGCACATGAGAGAAACCATGGTTTGGAGAATTACACATCTTTGGGACCATTTAGGGGGTGCTTCATATTAGGGGGATGGGATTATCAAAACCGACCCAGATCAAACATCAAAATAAAGCATGAATGCTCCAGAAACGGAGCCTAGAAGATACTTCTCCAGTTTTTAAGACGGCAACTATGGGAGGCATATGAAAGCTGCTTGGTGGTGGTTTCAACCCATTCATTAAGCGATGTGAGTATTGGGAAAACCGGGGATGGTGTATTACGATTGCGTTCGCCGGCACTTCACCAATCACCAATCCAGGATGGATCCCCATCTATGTTGCACCCATCAAACCGCAAATATATCATGCACAAATCCTAGTTTATTTGGGTCTGTCTGAAAATATGGTACCCCTATTGGAATAACAATGTGGGGATTTACCAACTATTAGTTCTTGACCAACTTGCGTATCAAATTGCCATAGATACTGCGCGCTTTGCTCCTTTGAGCGAACAACAGGCTGATGCAAGAATTTATTTTATCAGGCGGGCATAGTTATGCCCCGGGAATTAATATGCCCACAACACATCACGAAAATCCTGCACAGTTGCGGCACCTTGGCTTCTTGTAGCAGCCATGCCTGCTAAAACGGCAAGAACAAGTGACCAAACAACACACGCTGACAGTGGTATAGTTATTGATCAAAAAAAGGAACACACTTTCCACAATTGATTCTGTGGCTATAGAACTTATAGAGTCTTATAGAGTAGATTATGCCTACGGACCGAAAACTGAGGTCGCGAAACGCTACTTTTTCGTTGCTGAATGCTACGCTGACTTTTTCGTTGCTGAGGTTCTTGATGCTACGCTTGGCATGGGGTGCGTGGGGTGGGGCATGTTAACGTTCGCTGAGGTGAACGCTGGGGTGCATGAGTGTTGCTTGATGCTACGCGCTGATGATGGGGTGGGGTGGGGTGGGGTGGGGTGGGGCATGTTAACGTTCGTGTGAACTTGCTGAGGTTCTTGATGCTACGCTGATGATGGGGTGGGGTGGGGTGGGGTGGGGTGGGGCATGTTAACGTTCGTGTGAACTTGCTGAGGTTCTTGATGCTACGCTGATGATGGGGTGGGGTGGGGTGGGGTGGGGCTGTTAACGTTCGTGTGAACTTGCTGAGGTTCTTGATGCTACGCTGATGATGGGGTGGGGTGGGGTGGGGTGGGGCATGTTAACGTTCGTGTGAACTTGCTGAGGTCCTTGATGCTACGCTGATGATGGGGTGGGGTGGGGTGGGGTGGGGCATGTTAACGTTCGTGTGAACTTGCTGAGGTTCTTGAACTTGCTGAGCATGCCTGAACTTGTTTGAAGCAGAAATTGCGTTTCGCCTAGGCGAAATACACATTTATCTAAAAAACCACCAAATTCAGACGTCTGAATTTCAGAGTTTTTGTGATCGCTGAATTGTGTTTTCGCCTAGGCGAAACGATGATTTTTTTGAATAAAACAGTATTTCACGACCTCACTTTCCGGTCCGCCGGGTAGATTATGTATCATATGATGCTCTAATGCAGCACAGGGAACATCACTAAAGCACACAAAACCCATCGAAAAATCTCCTGCCGTAAATTCGCTGCAGGCCTCGTAGCCTCTAGAGCAGTCCGGCGTTTCGCCTGGAGCGACGAGGGCGCCACATGGATTGAATTTTTCTACAGCTGGTTTTAGCAACCAACCTGCAAGCCTTCCAACATCTTCCAACTGTTTACATTGCCAAATGCAAATGGCTTAGAATCTGGAAATTCATTATCTTTCACTAAGCGCATCGAAACGTGCTGCTTGGTCCGACCTCTGTAGCGCATGTGCGATGGCTCGCTGCCATCAGTGGACCTTGCTGGAGTGAATCCAGGCATACACTGGATTCATGTGTACCGATGGGAATGCAAGCATCATGAATTGGAGTGCCTACAAGTTGTGAATAATTACACACCATTGAACTAAACAATCAATTGGTAAATTGGTGTTGATTCAAAGCATATTTGTGCCTATAGTTTCTGGTTGAATCCCCATTTTGGTTCCAACCCCATTGCTTGGCAAACAAATGCAGGTCATAAGTGGGTTCCCCTGTCCTATGGAAGCTCCCAAATTACAAACAGACCTTTTTCGGCGATTGACTCTATCGCTTTGAACAATCTCCTTCTACCTCTAGGCGCTTAAGGCACACAATTGGTTTCATGCAACTGGTGAACATGATGAAGTGATATGAGCTGTTTTTCTAAAGTGTGCATCTTCAAAGTTCATCCCATGTTTTCCCATGTTTTCCCTATCCTGGGCACATCATTTTTCTTCCTTCACCGGCACTGGCCAGGCACTGGCCTTTTTGATGCTGACTTTGGCATCACGGCCCCATGGCCCCATGGCCATGACCAAAAAACTCATCGCCTCAGGAGTCCTGGTAGCTCTGAGAAAAAACTGAAGAATTGGGGATTTAACTTCCACCAATCATGGTAGTAATAAACTAGGGGATTTACATGATGGTAACAATAAACTGGGGATTTTCCATCAACACTAGATCATGATAATTTGATAATACTAGGATGTATTGATAGGTCAGCTTGTTGATAGACAAAGCATTGGATTTAGTGTGTACCAGAAAACTGCGGATTCGATTTATATATTTATGGTGAAACATGGTGAAACTATATGAAACAAAATCATTCGGAGGACAAAATCACATTGCACTGCAGGCTGGTATTTCTTTTGGGTTGCCATTGGATACCCTGCCTCCTGGAACTTCTTGAAGGGCGCAAGCACTCATGGCATAGCTATGGCAGTATCTGTCATCCTTAAACCAACGCTTGAACGGTCTTGAGAACATTGTTTCCACTCAGAAGCCACCAAAAATTGAGGTTGATGTTTATGATGTGTATTTACTTGTGACGTCCCAACTCAGAAGCCGCAAATTCTTTCCTTCGCACGCAAAGATTTTGGGGATCTGTTGTTTTCCCTTTCCCTCTCCCCATCTCGCTATCTTCATGGGAGCGAAGTCTGAAGTCTCGTGGATCTGTTTGGGGCCAACAATTTGGGAACCGGACAGGCACCCACTGCAGCAGAAAGCAGCAAAGGCGCCATGGAGCCTGCAAGGCTGATGCAACCGTGTTCAACCCATCGCCTCCCAAAAAAAAGCCTCCAGCTATGTACAGGATGGTGCCCCCCAGTTATAAGTGGGTTTATAAACCCCATTAACTATAGTTATATCTGCCATAAACCATAGTTATGGGACTTATAAACCAACTTAGCTAACTATGGGGCACCACCTTGTAGTAGCTAAGTCCAGTTTGAAAGGGTACCATCGAATGGAAGAAATAAATCCAGGATTAAGACGAGTAAATGCCAACTTGAGCACCAACAAGTTAAGGACTGAATAGAATACACCTAACCCTCAGATTTGGCAAATCTTTGTTGACCATCCTCCACATTGCCCAATGATCATCCAACTGACGCCCCATGTACCTTACAAGTCCTCATGGCCGCGCCACAAGACACGTCAGTAGCTCTTAGGGAGCTCTGCAACATCGCGCCTCAGGAGATCAACCAGCGAGGTGTCTCAATGAACATGACTCACTTGGAATGGCATGGTAGATGGGGGAATCATGTTCACCATGAATGTGTACGCAAACATGGACTGTCGATGTCCCAATCCCCTCGATCGTTTTTGGGTATCTGGGCTCTTTGTGCCCCATGACTTAGTGATATTGACAGAATCCCTGGCTGCAAACAGCTCTCACAATGGCCCAAATATGTTCCATAGCAAACCGTTAATCATTAACTGAGGGTACCAACCGTGACCTCTGCGCTGCCAAGACTCTCAAATGCTCCATGGCATGGGACCACTCCAGTGATGTAAGGATGCTCCCGTGGGTCTCAACTGTGGACTCGATCCCGGATCGTTGCAAGGTGTCAGACCTTAAGGAACGTCGAGGAGGTGCCCCCGAAACAAAGGTAAGTTGGTTTACAACTAGACTAAACAACTAGACTAACTAGACTCGGCATAACTAGTTTTAGATAGTTTTAGACTATATATCTACAGCTAGATTGGTAAACAAAACCAACTAATAACAAGAGGCGACCTTTTTGCAGACGGGATGGGTTCAAGACCTTAGACAAGTTGATAAGCCCAGAGTTTGCTTCCTCCGAGTACCTCTCCCTGATTCGGGTTGGTCCAAATACCCGGTATACGGTATAGTACCCCAAAAAAAAAAACGCTTTTAACATGGTCTGAACCATGGTTTAAACAATCAAATGGATTTTGAATCGTGATCACATTAAAGCCTCCAAATCCCTCCCACCAAACATCCACATCCCATACCCAAACATCCATGCCAAGATGCAGCTGCATTGCCTTCTTCCAGTCACCCTTCAGCCCTATAGCTGAGTTCATAGTGATGGAGTCCTACTGCTAACAGCATTCAGAATTCCAAACACTCTAGGCCCCATCAAGCAAGGTAATGCGTTTAAAGACATGCATGTGAAAGGCTGCAAGTAACGTGTGTGTATATATTTATGTTATGCAGATATATAGTGAAATATACGTAGTGTAATCTACCATGAACATTCAAAATTAATCACTGTTGCGAAGTTTTCTTCCCAGCTGATCAACTATGTTCGAATCTAGTTTTGGCATGTTTTGGCAGTGTGGACCCCAGTGTGCAACTGCGTTTCCTACCGGATTGGCTGAACATGCTGAGCTTTCCCGAAGACCCCTCCTCCGGCAGGAGTCCTGCCGCAGCGACCTCACACGCATCTGCTGCAACAACTGCCAGGCTTGTCTCCACTCGCAGCTGTTGATAGCTGCATTGTACACCACGGAATTCAGCTGACACTTTTGCTGCATTTGCCCAACCTCAAGTGAGATCTTTGGGTGGTTTCAGGATTTTGAGGGATGTGAATCTGGTGTGTAAGTGTTGTTGTGTGTCCGTTTCTAGTGGAAAGGTGCAAGCTTGGCATCTTGAGTGAAAGTCGCACCTCAGCTGGGGATTGGACAAGCATCTCCCAATGCCCAGGGGAGGTGGCGATGACAGCGCTGCAACTTTCGGCCGCCATTTGAAGATTGGAACTGGCCATTCCTGGTGGCTGCTGTGCTCATAACGACATCAAACAATAATATCTCATACAGATATTGAAACATGAGCGGATGCGGTGTATAGTGTGATTGTATCCCCTCTGTGTCCCTTAGGTATCCTACAAAACAATCCGATTCAAGAGGGCATTGACATTGACAATGTGACAAGTGTCGTGGTGAATATCATTCTTTGGACATCTTTGAACTACAGTATGCAAGTGATCTTGTTGGCTAATTGGGTTTGACTCAAAATGGGGAAACTCAAAACTTGCAATTTGAGTGGTGACAAGAATAGTCGACCATGTGATTTTTGGGTGAACCTAGTTGTTGGACAAACATGGACGAACCCAATAACATCCAATAACATCCAAGATTCCAAAAATGGCAACGACATAATGATTCTAATTTATTCAAATCAATTCACATTTTTACCACACATCCCTCTATAAGACTCTATATCCTTCCTTTTTTGTAGGAAAAACACCCCACCAATGATGCCATTCCCACCTCAACCAGCCGCAGCTCCTGCGAAGATCTCCCGCGCTTTGGGCCAGGCGGCAATGTCGCAGGCGCGCAAGATGCTGTTGCAGGCGATGCGGTCGGGGGCGAAAGGATACAGCCTGGGAAGCGACTCAGAGTCCATTTGGGGATGTATCAAAACCTATATATTGGTCTGGGCAAATTATAATAATTCACAAACCTGAAATAAGGCCATTTGGGGATGATTCCCCTTACTAACCATGATTCCAGTGAGGTCGCAGTGAGGTCGTTATAATTTACCCAGACCTATATATTGGTATATTGGGGGGGTTCACTACGGTACCGACGTTTTGACTCATACAGTACCCATTTGATCCATCTAATTAGACCAGCTGCAAACCTTTAAGGCTTTGAGGCCAACTTTGACAGGTACATGGAAGGACTTAAAGAATTTATAGGTGCTACTACCTACCTACCCTGGAAAGAATCGGGTGAAAACCATTCCCACAACACATTTTGGTCAGGTTTATGGACCTGGGAAGGTGCTGATTCAGCATTCCCATTCCATATTGATGGGAGACGGTGTGAATCACATGTCATTTGAACATGAAAAATACCGACTCTATGGCCCTAAAATTCATGGATGACACATGTTGTTGATGCGGGAAAAAATGTATTTGAAACCACTGCGCTCAATCGATTTCATCATTTTGCTGCTAACATGCCCATTTCATCTGTTGGCCAAATCCAAAACATGGAGGTTTCCCAAAAAAAAGGGGTACCCCAAAATCATCCAAGATTTTATACATTTTATCATAGGATTTTCCATCAACCATCCAGCTGTTGGGGATCCCCCAGGAATCCCCAGCCATCTCCAGCGGCTTTCAGGTGGCGCGTGCAGCAGCAGCGCATCCTTCCAGCCGCTTTGGACGGCGGCCTCGAGTGCCACGTTCCGCGACACCAGGTCCAACTGCAGCCCGGAACGGCAGAGAACCTGGAGCCGAGTCGCCGAGATCATCCATGGCTGCCAGCTGGTAATCTGGGAAGTCATCACCCTATAGTTTGAGGACTTTCTCAAGATGTTCAAGGGATATCAAGGGGTGATTTCTCATGTTCAAGTACTGAAGGGTAAAATCCGTCTTAGACCTTCTAAAACCATCATAGTACATCAGTTTGTCAAATTAAAGAGGGATTTAGACTCACCAGCCCCCAAATGTCGACATGAATTAGACTGAATCATGGCCATCAAAGCCCATTTTATGGCCATCAAAGGACGGCCCTATTCGAGGTCTTCTCACAGAGAAAACTCATTCCGTGTATATCTATAGTCATTCTGGAGTAGATAGAACAAGCATTAACAAAAAATACATCGCTAATTTATATAAAATGGAAATAGGTTTGAACAAATCCATCTTCTGTATGCTTCAAGATGATTATAAAAGTATGTACATAATACATTTATATACTATCTATTCATGCAGTGTGCAGTTCTGATCCATGGGGGTGACCCTAAGTGGTGCGGGCAGTGGGTGAACACTGAAGACCTTTAGGGATCGGCAAAATGATGGTGTTCACCGTTCACCCAGGGATTCCATTGTCCTTGGGATGCCGATCACCCAAACCTTGTTGCACAGCGTATGTCCGTTGCATCATTGGCCGGTTCACTTGCCAGGTCTGATCCCCAGCTCCTCTTCTACACTATTCAATCTTCAGAATATATATATATATAGTTTCACATACATCTATGTTGACATAATTTACACATGTACCGTATGTGACTTAATTAGATCTAAATTATGGGTAAAAATTCAATCAAATCGTACAGTGTCGCAAACCTCCGCTTTGTGGATCAAAACCTTCAAAATAAGGGTCATTTGCTGTCCAGGTATGCGCATCTATTTCTGTAGCTACATATAGAAAACCCAATCTATAAATGCCTGAAAGTTGGGAACCTGGAAATATCAGTGGTAGCCAACATCAAAAAACCATCCTGGTTTCACACAACAAAAAGGCATCTTCTTGGGGGTTCCGGTTTGCCAAATGAAAAATCAAACATGAAAATGGAAAATCCATCATTTGAGTATAGATGTGTTTCCCATTGAAATCTCAAATTAGTTCGAGGATTTTCAATTGCCACACCTGATATCCATTTACAGTATATATATATATATCTCCCAATATTATCATTATCCCATGATCATGGGTGACTTCCATAAATATCCCAAGATATGTATATCCCATTATCAAGCCAGTAAGCCAGTATTAATCATTATCCCAATTAAGCCAACAATCCAACTAAAATCCCAATAATGGGATTATAATTATGAATTGGAATTATTAATAATCTATATCACAGAAAGTTGAGGTATGTTCATTCATATCCTATTATTCCTATTATAATCCCATTTTTATGCCATTGCTCATGGAATTCCATGATCGTGGTCAACTCTACCCAAGATATGCCCATGAATATCCCATGATTATTATCCCATGATTAAGCCATGCTTCATGGGAATTCCACCAATTTGCATCAGCCGAGTTGCTGCCAGTGTCCTTGACCACTGCGACGCAGCAACGCAGGCTTTGCCACTGCTGGCGACCACGAAGGCATCACGGGCGACGAGGAAATCGCATGCCATGAGCCAAGCAGCTCCTCAAGCAATAGAAATGGTCATTTCTCCGGGAATTCACCATGAGAGTCTGAGTAATCCATGAGTAACCCATGAACATGTGGGATGTTACACCAACATACACCAACAGTTTGGATTTTATCAAACACTTATGATTTCAAGCACCAAGGATTTTTTCAGACTTGGGCTATCAAACTATTCGGTGGATTTAAGCATCAAACATGGAAATCAACCATGTCTTTTCTGAGTTAATCATTGGATACCTCCTTTTTCATTGGTCTTGTCAAACGATGGGATCCGGCCAAGGAGGAAGCCATCAAGGCTGCCAAGTTGGGTTAACTTAAAAATACAAACAAACACTAGACGACGGGTGGCCCGAGAGCGTAGAGGAGCAGAGTCTTCTGTTGTTAGTATGGAGACACTATATTACAAGATAATATGATAAAGATGTATTATAGGCAGACGAGAAGAGTAGCATCAAGACAATATATGACTAGTACAAGACAATAGTTTGCATCGTATTTTTGTAAAGTTTTTCATACACAGAACTTTTTACAGACAGACGCTTTTGCACACAGAGACTTTTACACACAGACGCTTTTACACACAGACGATTTTGCATACAGAGACTTTTACACCCAAACACTTTTACACACAGAGACTTTTACATACACAGACGCTTTTACACACAGAAGCTTTTACACACAGACGCTTTTACAAACAGACGCTTTTACACACAGACGCTTTTACACACAGACGCTTTTACACACAGACGCTTTTTACACACAGGCACTTTTACACACAGACGCTTTTACACACAGAGACTTTTACACACAAACGCTTTTACACACAAGCGCTTTTACACACAGACGCCTTTACACACAGACGCTTTTACACACAGACGCTTTGACACACAGACCCGTTTACACACAGAGGCGTTTACACACAGAAGCTTTTACACACAGACGCTTTTACACACAGACGCTTTTACACACAGACGCTTTTACACACAGACGCTTTTACACACAGAGGCTTTTACACACACAAGCTTTTGCACACAGACGCTTTTGCACACAGACGCTTTTACACACAAACACTTTTACACACAAACACTTTTACACACAGACGCTTTTACACACAGACGCTTTTACACACAGACACTTTTACACACAAACGCTTTTACACACAGACGCTTGGACACACAGACGCTTTTACACACAGAGGCTTTTACACACAGACGCTTTTACACACAGAGACTTTTACACACACAGACGCTTTTACACACAGACCCTTTTACACACAGACGCTTTTACACACAGACGCTTTTACACACAGACGCTTTTACACACAGACGCTTTTACACACAGACGCTTTTACACACAGACGCTTTTACACACAGACGCTTTTACACACAGAGGCTTTTACACACACACGCTTTTGCACACAGACGCTTTGACACACAGACGCTTTTGCACACAGGCGCTTTTACACACAGACGCTTTTACATACAGACGCTTTTACACACAGATGCTTTTACACACAGACGCTTTGACACACAAACACTTTTACACACAGAGACTTTTACACACAGACGCTTTTACACACTGACGCTTTTACACACAGACGCTTTTACACACAGATGTTTTTAGACACAGACGCTTTTCCACACAGACGCTTTTACACACAAACGCTTTTACAGACAGATGCTTTTACACACAGACGCTTTTACACACAGACGCTTTTACACACAGACGCTTTTACACAGACGCTTTTACACACAGAGACTTTTACACACAGTTGCTTTTACACACAGACACACACAGACGCTTTTACACACAGAGGCTTTTACACACAGAAGCTTTTACACACAGACGCTTTTACACACACACGCTTTTGCACACAAACGCTTTTGCACACAAACGCTTTTGCACACACAGTCTTTTACACACAGACGCTTTTACACACAGACAAGTCCGGCACAGGAAAAATCGCAATTTTACCTCAGTTTTTGCCGATCGACCCTCATTTCGTGCGAAAGGGTTGCTCCGGGGCAAGTAAAATCGCAATTTTACCTCAGTTTTTGCCGATCGACCCTCATTTCGTGCGAAAGGGTTGCTCCGGGGCAAGTAAAATCGCAATTTTTCCTCAGTTTTTGACGATCGACCCTCATTTCGTGCGAAAGGGTTGCACCGGGACAAGTAAAATCGCAATTTTTCCTCAGTTTTTGACGATCGACCCTCATTTCGTGCGATACGGTTGCTTTAGCACAAGTACAATCGCAATTTTACCTCAGTTTTTGACGATCGACCCTCATTTCGTGCGAAAGGGTTGCTCCAGGACAAGTAAAATCGCAATTTTCCCGCAGTTTTTGACGATCGACCCTCATTTCGTGCGAAAGGGTTGCTCCGGGACAAGTAAAATCGCAATTTTTCCTCAGTTTTTGACGATCGACCCTCATTTCGTGCGAAAGGGTTGCTCCAGGACAAGTAAAATCGCAATTTTTCCGCAGTTTTTGACGATCGACCCTCATTTCGTGCGAAAGGGTTGCTCCGGGACAAGTAAAATCGCAATTTTTCCTCAGTTTTTGACGATCGACCCTCATTTCGTCGGCCTTAAGAGAGAAAGATAAAGAAGGCGAGAGAGAGAAAAGGGAGAGAGAAAGGAGAGAAGATGTGAAGATGAGCAGATGTGAGAGAAGATGTGAGAGAAGATGTGAGAGAAGATGTGAAGATGAGCAGATGTGAGAGAAGATGTGAGAGAAGATGTGAGAGAAGATGTGAAGATGAGCAGATGTGAGAGAAGATGTGAAGATGAGCAGATGCGAAGATGAGCAGATGTGAGAGAAGATGTGAGAGAAGATGTGAAGATGAGCAGATGTGAGAGAAGATGTGAGAGAAGATGTGAAGATGAGCAGATGTGAGAGAAGATGTGAGAGAAGATGTGAAGATGAGCAGATGTGAGAGAAGATTTGAAGATGAGCAGATGTGAGAGAAGATGTGAGAGAAGATGTGAAGATGAGCAGATGTGAGAGAAGATGTGAGAGAAGATGTGAGAGAATATGTAAGAGAAGATGTGAGAGAAGATGTGAAGATGAGCAGATGTGAGAGAAGATGTGAGAGAGATGTGAGAGAAGATGTGAAGATGAGCAGATGTGAAGATGAGAAGATGTGAGAGAAGGTGTGAAGATGAGCAGATGTGAAGATGAGCAGATGTGAAGATGAGCAGATGTGAAGATGAGCAGATGTGAGAGAAGATGTGAGAGAAGATGTGAAGGTGAGCAGATGTGAAGATGAGCAGATGTGAGAGAAGATGTGAGAGAAGATGTGAAGATGAGCAGATGTGAGAGAAGATGTGAAGATGAGCAGATGTGAGAGAAGATGTGAGAGAAGATGTGAGAGAAGATGTGAGAGAAGATGCGAAGATGAGCAGATGTGAAGATGAGCAGATGTGAGAGAAGATGTGAGAGAAGATGTGAAGATGAGCAGATGTGAGAGAAGATGTGAAGATGAGAAGATGTTTTACAGACCCCCACTATTGGAAGAACCCTGCGCTCAGACGCTCTCGGGAAAAAAACTGTATCATGAACTTAAAAATACAAACAAACAAAAACTGTATCATGAAGCTCTGCAAAAAATGGTGGGGGTTATCATCATAAATGTGGAATTTCCTGCCGAAAAACAAGAACAAGCAATGAATTTTGTGATGTGTGCCGACAAACGCGTGCATCAATGGCCAACAAACATGGACAGTATCTTTGCCACAAAAAACTAAACAAAGAAGTTGGGAAAATCAACAACTCGGCCCTATAGCCTTCACACCAGGTCTGTCAGTTGGCATCTGCTACAGATTCAGGCTGGTTGTTGTTGACAAATCCTCAATGATCGGCATACACCCAGCAACATCATAGTACCCCTGAGTTGATCAATGGAGGCAGCTTGAGCTTGGATACCACAACCCATCTAGAGGCACCACTGCGAGGGAAACATCATAACCTCCTCAGCTGGTCATCTGCATCATGTGGATGTTGCATGGACCTCCTCAGCTGGTTGTTCCTTATCCCACCATTTTGTTTCGGAATATGAGCCCACCATCTTTTGGGGAACATCCTCACATCCCCATTAGACCCAATCTCTCCCAATACATTTTGCAAAATCCCAATCAGCAAACAGCTCCCCGCAGCGCCAAATCTCCTTCGCAACAGGACTGGCACACCGCCCTTACTGCCCCCTGACGCTCCGAAAACATCGCCATCTTCGCCAAACGCTCCACATCGCGGCGCCAGTGGCCCTGCTGCGCCGAGGCAAGCATTCCTGGCAGTGGAGCCAACCTGGTTAAACAATTGGAAAACCACAAAATTGTCTAATGTGTTTTAAACAGTGGAGCCAACCTGGTTAAAACACATTATCAATCGTCCATGAATCGGACGTATGTGCAGCCACATGTCAAAATCGCCATAAAATCACGCATGGTGGGTTGAACACCATCAAGAACCAGTCCACTGGATGAAGCTAGAAAGTCCAAGAAAATCCAAGGCAAAGAAGAATCTCCGAAACCACAAACCAAACCTATCTTATCCAAATGTGAGTCAAACATTAGGCACCGTTGAGCCCACAAACTTGGCAGATTTCTTTGACCCACACCGGCAGGTCCTGCCGTGTAGGACATGGCATCCAATTCAACCGTCGAGGCCTGGCCGGATTCTCCAAGTGACAGTGGAAATCTGGTGGAGAACCCAACAACAAGCCCCTGGGTAAATCAGAATAAACAGCCACCTGAGATAAGATCATCTTGGGATAGGTACCCTTACTCACCATCATTCCACTGACGTCGCAGTGAGAACGCTATAATATGCTATATAATCTAACTTATGGCCCTACCGGAACGCAGGCCGACAGACAAATTCATAGGACCCGATGTCTTTTTGATCCACTTGATTTTTCAGCGGGTACCTGAGCTGACCTAAATTGGCAATGTGCTTACATGGAAATCCCACAACTGGCTAATGTTGAAACATCCTCATCCCTCTAAAGCCCCCTTTGCCATCTGCCAATCAAAATCGTTTTTGGGTACTGCCGCGCTGATTCTCCGTTGAACTGTTGGGATTACTTTCTGCCGTGTACCAATCCAAATTCCCAGGCGGTTCTTCGCCCAAAAGCAAGAAACACAATTTTCAGAGGAAATGCTTCAAACCCTATGATTCTATGATGCAACCAACCAACAAAACAAAAAAACATCAAACCACTATTTGAAGAAAAAGATTAGGTTTTAGTTGCTTTTCGTTACAGTAATCCTGGTAATCCTCTATAGAAAAACCCTTCAAATCAGCGGTTTTGCCAAGTTTTACCCCGCTTTCTTCACCTCAACAGCTCCAAACCGACCTCAACGTCCCAGAGCATCCGTTGCGCCAGCTGCCAGTTCTCCATGCCCGCGGCCGCACTGCCCCAGCTGCGCACATCGTTCTGCACACGAAGAACTCCAGCAGAGCCTCGCTAAAGAATGGTGGTTCTGAGGATTGGGCCCTGGGCCTGGGTTTTTCTAAGCCCACAGAGGCGCTTCTGGCCTGGGTGGTTTTGAAAGGAAACATATGGTTTTGAAAATGAGAAAAATATGAAACATGATGAACAATAATGACACATTACGGAAAATAATATGGAAAAAGTGGAGGTGCCCAAAGACCGACAAATAGTTTGGTTGTCTCGTGCCGCTTTTCCGTTGCATTTTAGTAGGCCTTTCATATCCATATATCTGGGCACCTCAACACTCCGTTTGATCAACGGTCGCCCTTTATTTCAGACCAGGCACTGAGAAAGAAGTAGCTCAGAGACCAGGAAAATGCCGAGGCTGCAATTAAGGTATTGAGGATGACGGAGTTGGGAAGGACCTGCCGACTTGTCGAAGTGGGGTGATCCCTGAACTGAGGACTAGCGGCTAGTGGGAAATACCGGAAACATCCATGAAACATATCTGGTTGGTGGTTGACCTACCCCTCTGAAAAATATTAGTCAGTTGGGATGATTATTCCCAATATATGGGAAAAAAAACATACCACCAACCAGATATTCTGCCAAATCCATTTACTAGTAGCTCAGGGATCATCCAGCAAAGCCATGCGAAACTAGCTCCTTCAGCCTCATTTTCCAGTCGCAAGATTTTTTTTCCGGCGAAGGGTAAGAACTTCCGGTGGCTCAGATGCAAACACCTTTAAGTCAGGGGCATTTGCCCTTCTGCATCTGATAGCACTGGAAATCTTTTACATCCTTTTACAACCCATCTATGATGCAAAGGGAATCAAACATGGTTATAGTTGATTTTCCCATTAAAACATCCATTTATAAGGGATTATCCAATAAAAACCTACATTTATAGATGATGTTCCCATTAAATACCTCTGTCCCTACTTCCCAGCTTGCCAGATCATCCCAACCCCTGGCCGACTTTCGCCTTCTTTGAGGGCATCTGGAAGAACAACTCCAGGGCATTTCGCCAGGTCTTCGCCTTCTTGCACGCGTTGAGCGCAAGGCCGAAGCTGATGACATCCTGAGTTTCAGGACATCAAACTGAAACTTGGAAAAAATATCTGACTCGTTTAGTGTTATTTTAAGGCTCCTTTTTTGTCAGGCATAGAAGTGAACAGGAGACCCTTTTTGCTGAATGGCTGAGCTGTGGCGGCATGCCGTCACCAAAAAAAAAAAGTAGATAGATAGATAGATAGATAGATAGACAGACAGATAGATAGATAGGTAGGTAAATAGCTAGTGAAATAGATCGATCGATAGTTAGATAGATAGGATAGAAAGGATAGAAATGATAGAAAGGATAGAACGGATAGAAAGGATAGATAGATAGATAGATAGATAGATAAATAGATAGATAGATAGATTAGATTAGATTAGATTAGACTAGATTAGATTAGATTAGATTTAGATTAGATTAGATTAGATAAGACAAGACAAGATAAGATAGACTAGATAGATAGATAGATAGATAGATAGATCGATAGATAGATAGATAGATAGATAGATCGATAGATCGATAGATAGATAGATAAATAGATAGATAGATAGATTAGATTAGATTAGATTAGATTAGATTTAGATTAGATTAGATAAGACAAGACAAGACAAGATAAGATACGATAGACTAGATAGATAGATAGATAGATAGATAGATAGATAGATAGATAGATAGATAGATAGATAGATTGATTAGATCGATAGATAGATAGATAGATAGATAGATAGATAGATTGATTAGATCGATAGATAGATTAGATAGATAGATAGGTAGGTAGATAGATAGATATAGATAGATAGATATAGATAAATAGATATATAGAGATAGATAAATATATATATATATATAGATAGATAGATAGAAAGATAGATAGATAGATAGATAAATAGATAGATAGATAGACAAACAGACAGACAGACAGACAGACAGACAGATAGATAGATAGATAAGGAGATAGATAAGGAGATAGATAAGGAGATAGATAAGGATATAGATAGATAAGGAGATAGATAAATAAATAGATAGATAGATAGATAAGGAGGTAGATAAATAAATAAATAGATTGATAGATAGATATGATCAATATGATAGATATGATAGACACATAGGATAGATATGATTATCAGTATGATAGATATGATAGACACATAGGATAGATAGGATATGATATGATATGATAGGATAGGATAGATAGACAGACAGACAGATAGACAGACAAACAGTTAGATAGATATACAGATAATCAGATAGACAAACACACAGATAGATATTCATTTATTTCAATACATCCAGCATTGGGATCTTCAATGTGTTTTATTTGCTGAGTGTTGACCATCAACAATCCTGGTCATCCCCCCATTCCGGCCCATCAAGTCTTGCAAAGCTACAGGACAATGTTTTCCTACCAGCTGCCAACCATGGTAGGCCAGGGCCACTTGTGGCATGACTTGTGGCTGTACCAAGGAACTTGCTGAATCCCTGTGCTACATGCTGAACGCCAAGCAGTGAGCCCAATGGCCGGCCGAGCCATGGAGCGTCGTATGATTCTTGATAGTTTTAAGATGTTTTAAGATGTCTGAAGTTCCACATGTGCCTTAGAAACTGATAGTTTTAAGTTCCATATGTGTCCAAAAAAAAACGCATGTAAGTCTTGTTTTTGGCCGGGAAACATTAGGAACTGTATAAGATTCATGCAATTTCACATCTGTACGCAGGATTCAAGCATATTCAAGCGGCATATCCCATTGCCAACTCGGAGAGTCATGGGATATGTCTGCTCATGGTAATGGTCATAAATCCTGGGACATTGACCCAGGCCTTTCACAAATGCTGATCTGAATGCTCGGGGCACTCTGAGCCGTAAGCGGCAGCTAAACATACGTTAAAGAATTATTTTTGGGGTACAATCCATTTCCGGACGAACCCAAGTAGAGGTGTTGCCTCGTCTCCTCATTGAGCGGAAGAAGTAAGAGCAATCAGCTCTGGACCATGCTTTCTAAATGGCCCTTCACCCGACGCACCCTGAGTGAGCTGCTGTGTATCGCCACCAATCTCAACCTTCAGAACTTGCAAAGAAGCACCATACCTGCGCCGCCACATACCCATGCGGCGGGAAATCAACACAAGTAATTGTCTCAAGTATACCCAGTATACCCTTTGGGACCTAGAAATGGCTTTGGATTCGCCCCTGCGTTCTGTAAGGTGTCGGATTTTCATGGATTTTCCACATCGCTGCGCTGAGGTCGTCTTGGCTGCGCACTGTGGTTTGAACAGAAGGTCCAAGATCTCATTCCGTTGTGCTTCAGGATAGTCCTCGCCATGATGGCGGGAAGTTGCGGCATGCTGCATGGGGCTTCTGGGCAGGAAGCAGGAGGTTATGGCAACAAAAACTGTGTGTTTCCAAAGTAATGCGAATTCTTTCCCTGACTCCCAAGAAAGAGAGATATACCCTAAAATGAATAGATTCAAATACTAAAACCAAGGCTTATGGATTAATATGGGAAAGCGTTTAACAATATTCAATAAATCTTCCAACCGAAGCTTCATCAATATTCTATTCATATCCATCATGTTCATTTTTTTATCACTTCTATATCATGTTCAAATCCCAATGTTATATCAGTATAATATAGTATAATCATTATAATTATCTCCCCATAATCTTCCCCATATACATCCATAACCTTTAAATTCCCACCTTCCCACCATTTCCCACCACCAGATGTAGGGCTAAAACGCGTCCTGCAGCAGCCTTGAGGAGGCGCCGGCGCTCAGCGCGCCGAGGCCCTCGAAGGGCAGACGCTTCGCCTCGACGTTTTCCCAAAGGGCGAGACGCGAGGCGTTCCGCCTGGGGATGTCTTTTGGAGCTAAAAGATGCTGAAAGATGCTGATTTCAAGGGAACCAGCTGGGAGTTTTTTTGGTATTCTTTTGAAATTATGAGGTCAGGGTTGTAAAGGTAGATCTATATCAAATGAGGATTTGAGGTGATTTTTGGCTAGATTTTGGGGGGCAGAGATGTTAAGTGGTCATGTGTTCTGCCTATGCTGTATATAGATATGTTCATGTATTGTAGCATCCATTGATCTTTGGTTATGTCATGTTTTAGCTCACATGCAACATGACTATATAAAGATGAATGGATACTAGCATACTTATTTATACACCGCACAGAAGGAACAAATGACCAGTTAAATCAGTTCAGATCTCCTGCAGAATGGGGTCCTCAAGTGTTCAAGCAGCTCTTGAACAAGTCCCAGGCCTGCTCCGCCGGGAGACCTGCCATTGACGGTGAAGGCATTGCAGAAGTGGCATGGAATGTCAAGGCTCATCTGGTTGGTGCAACATGTGGCATCTGCAAATTCACCAGTGTCCAACAGTCCAACAGCCATGGAATTCTCATTCCATTCTATATACATCTAGATTAACTGATTCTACTGGTTGCTGCAGAATGGCATTCCCCATCCACCAACAGGGGTTTGGAACACTGCTCACTTGTGCAGCCTGTGCCTGGTGAATCTTTGCCCCAAAGGCCTGTCCAGAGATGGCTTGGCCATCTCAAGGCTTAAACTCTTTGAACATAGGACATGCGATTTATGGACCGGTACCCCTTCTGAAATAATTTGAACATATTTGAACTGGATTCGAGACTTCAATCATCTAATCCATCCAGGATTGAAAGTCAGCCGACGAGCAGCCAGCTTGCCCATTTTGAAACAGAGGGTGCAAAGGTTGCTCAAGCGCAACCTGCGCAGTTATAAACGAACACAGCGAGAGTCAGGCCCCTTGAGAATTGAGTCTCAAGTCTTAAGGCCTAAATTCAGCGAAGATCTGTGAATTAAGACATGACTCTTAGCCCGGTTTAGGGCTTAGAATTCATGGACGCAATGGTTTTTACTAGGCTACAATATAAAGTGTGCTCCTTTGGAGCATGTCACAGCGGTGCCAATGGTGATTTCGAAGCCGCAAGGAGACTGAATGATAAGGCTTCGTATCTTGGAATATCCCGATTCCAAGCCTATGTGCCGCCCTCGGTGATGCTGGGGAATTTGCATCCGACTTTGAGACACACTGCATGAGGAAAACAAACCAAAAAAACAAATTTCTGAGCGTCACATAAGTAAAAGTCCTTTGGCATCAACAAAAACGTTCTAGGACACTGCGGCTTCATCTTTGCCACTGCATCCACAAATCTCTCAACGCAGATCTGTAGCTGCTTGAGGGAGAAATAAATTGAGGCTTGATACCGTGGGACCTATACCACACCACTCCATGTGTTCGACTTCAGTCAGTATCCATTTATCTTCATGTATCGCTTCGATTGGGGTATATCTAAATCATTATGATTCATACCCAAGCCCCTCCACATCTACCCTTTGACAAACTGGGCAAATGCACAAGCCGCCTTCATTAGCATCGACCGTGCTGTGATCCGTAACATTGTAAACAGCAAACAAAAATGCCCTTTTGGCACCAATAGGGGCCAGTTCAGTACCTTTCACACATTGTGTGTTCAATGGGGGGGTTCTCTATGAATCAATTTATTGACCAGCGGGAAAAGGATACATGACTCTACATAAGTTGTCTGAAAATAGGGTATACTCTATAAAGTCCCATGGTTCATTCAGCATAGTCGCATTCGAACGGCAAATTTTGGAGTGCCCTGCAGAGTTGGACAAACCCAAGTCATTTTGTTGTCTTACCATATCCCAATCACTGTATGAATAATATGTATATAATATCATATTGCAAATAATATTTAATATAACATAGTAAAGTATAGTATAATATAATATAATCATAAAATCTATAATCTATAATCTATAAGCCTGGTTGGTTGACATCCACACCTCTCTTCAAACATATGGATAAAATATCGCATCAAAGCCTCAACTTCGATAATTTCCAACCGGCTCCGGGAAGCTTCGCGAGGAGCACTCGCCTTCACTGCCTGAGACGTGACTGATGCTCGTACTTTCCTGACAGCGGTGTCACTGGGAAGGCTTTGCATGGCGTATACCACCCCTTTATGGTGACTTGGGACTTGGGGATCGTTTACGATTGCTTTAACCACAGTAGTATCTATTGTGTCATGTTGTAAACCATTTGCAAGGAGTCATTGAACTTTGCGAGTAAATGTCATTGAGCTTTAGTACTTTAATATACTTTACAGTAGTTGTTGTGTTCAAAGGATCTTCGCACTGTTCACAGTTGACAGTCTTTACTTCTTCCGATTCGGGACACATGGTCCTGGTCGCCTATCCCTCCCAGAAGCTGGACAGCACCGAACATGTTCATCCCAGGCATGTTTTTTTTGGATCATCATCTAGACCATTTTGCGATGTTTCTTTGTGGGAGATACCCCATGATACCCCAGTTATGAATTACGAACCGCTTAATGTCTGATTGTTGACCCCCAGGCTGATGGATACCTTTCCTGAGCTTTGATCTGGGAAATCCCTCTGTAAATGGAGAGATGATTGATTCCCGAGGACAGAAAAAGGTCATCCAATGTTGAACTATACAATATATCAAAATATATGTGAATAAATATACAGCTATGATGAGCATGCAAATATTGCATAATCTTGCCATATACGATCCATCGTAGCATATCGCACATCACTTTCTCTTTCACATGTTATCGATCAAACATCCATTTTATATATCCAGCTACTTAAGTTCAAATATCATGAAATAGTATTATAGTCCAGTAGCCATAAATATCCATAAACATCCATGATCATAGTATCCGTATCCAGATGTACCCTCTGGTAAACTAACATAGCCATGGAAAATCACCATTTTTAATGGGAAAATCATGGAAAATCCACTATTAATCACCATTTTCAATAGCTATGTTAGTCATTACCAGAGGGTATCCGTTGTCTCCATTCGACAGATCCTCGTCGGCCAGGACGCTGTTTCACCCTCCAGGTCGCTGGCGCTCGGCACGTGGCAGAAGTCCACAGCAGCCACTGCCAGGGTGGTGCAGAAAGCCTCAAGCACCGGCGACTCGCGATTGTCATTGGATTGGTTTAAGGGAAAATCTTCAGGAAACCATGGTTTTTACCATCAAATATAGGGCAATTACCCTCTGGTAATTTAACATAGCTATTGAACATGACCATAGAAATAGTGGATTTTCCCATTAAAAATGGTGATTTTCAATAGCTATGTTAAATTACCAGAGGGTAAGATTCAAACAAGGATGGTATAACCCTGACAAATGATCTCACATGAATATGGATGACAAGGATGAACAATATTGTCTAAGTCATTCTGTAGGTCAATTTATAGGAAAAAAACAGTATCAATGCATTAATTCAACGGGTTGATTCAATGAAAACACCCGGAAACTATGGTTTAATTTTCCACATAAGGGTGTGTCCTGAAAAGTGTCCCTTCAACATTCTTCAACCAATTCTGGGACAAGAAGAAGAAACGATGAAACGGAGGAGATTCATGGAGCTTAAGGCATGTCGGGTTGATTCATGGGCTCACCCCCTTAGCAAAAAATGTGACAATCTTAAAGACACCAAGCAGATGTGATCGAGACCAAATCCTCCCCCAAATTCTGGAGCTCAGAAACTGAGGTTTTGACGGGATGCAAGATGGACAGGTTCTGTTGTGCAAATGTTAAAGGGTTGGAAACACCAGGTCTATAAGTCGTAAATGTCCAGGAAACACCCGGCACCAGCACCACCGAGATAAGGGCCCAGGAAAATATCCCGAACGTTGGGTGAGGTTGGACCGAGTAAAGAACTGCTGGTTGATTCCAACCCTTTCCAATATTAGTATAGAACGTATTTGTGGGGGGCCTTCTCTTTTGTTGCCAACCCTTTCACAACCACAAGAATGGCAGAGGGTGGCCCCCATTGACAATATGTCTAAATACGACCATGGGTGATCACATGAACTCAAACGATAACCTCTTGAGCGACATGGGTCCTCTAGCATATCATCGGGTCATCACTAGCCACATACAATCTAGAAGCTTTTAGTTTTTTCATGAAGTAATTACTTAGACTGATAGTACTTGTAGACCACATGGGTTTGTCTGAAACTAGGTTTAAAGTAAAGAAAATAGACGGGTCCACTGGTGAATCATCATTCCCCCTACTAAAAGCCACACTTTTTGGGGCAACTACCCCATTTTCAGAGACATTCAGAGACCCCAATCTTCGACTTTGGCCGCCCGGCTCCCATAGATGTCCCAAGCAAAGCCGTGACCAGGGCAGAGACCAGCGCCTTCTCATGGCCCCACCCCAGGTGACACTCCAAAAAATCCTCAGAGGTCCATGTTGGAGCTTGGCAATTGCGGCAATGAGTTGTGCACTGGGAAACCATGGGAAACCCATCGAAATGGAGATACAGCCATGTTTATATTCTTGGATGTGTATACTAGTATACTTGGCAATATTTTGCAATCTTGGAGGAGTTTTTATTGGATCTTAAGTATATAAACATGGCTATACAGCTATACATATAGCACATGTTGCAAGTACATGTTCAAATAAATGTTCAAAGGATGATGAGGCTGAGAATCATTGTGTAATGGAAACTTGAACAATTGCTTAAGGAATCACCAAAAAAGTAAATAAATAAAAAGTTACATTCCCTTAATCGATTCCCCAAGTAGTGGATTTCCCAAACAATCATCCGAGTCATCTTCCGCAATTCCTACAGGAAAAACCATCATCTGTTGGTTCCAAGATGTTCCAAGGAACCAAATTCTGAAAATAGCATGTCTTCCTATCCCATAGCATCCATGTATGGCATATATGCTAACATTGGGGGTATATTGATGGTAAATGTTACCATATATACCATACATGGATCCTATGGGTATTGGACATGTTCAGTAAGGATGAAACACTCTGTACGTCGCACGGGACGCACGGGTTCCGAACGTTTTATGTCTCCGATCCAAGTATGGGACACCGACTGACAATCCCAAATTCAATGGATTGCTTGGGAAATCTACAGGAAACAATGGTGTTTTGCCCTCAAAAATAGCAAGAACTTGCAAGAACATATGAAGGGAATGGGTTCTTGTCCATTGCCATGCTTTGTTACTACAGGCTATGGCCATGTAAAAGCAACCATTTGGACAGAGATTCTCCTGATCCAGGACTTCTAGCCGTTCCCGTGCAGCCAACACTGTTACTGAAAAGATGACATGGGATGAGGAGCAAATATAGCAAATGGAGTGAAATTTGCATACACAATTACACAATATTACACAATCATGTGCAATATCTTGGATATATCTAGGATATATCTTGGATCGACATGGCTTCAGAATATGAAAGAATTGCGCACACCAGGACCAACTGAAGCCATTCTGACCCACCTGCGATCCTGAAACCAGGTGGCCATCATCAATTGT